CACAACCAAAACTAACTGCAAATGCATCCAACAAGTTTGTAGAGTCACAAGCTTGATGTAGTCATTGCGTGCTAGGAATATGGGACCAAAATACTAACTTTTGACTACTTTATTTATAAGAATCTGTATGGGTGTCAATAATTTTGAACCCTACCTTTTTGAAAAAAAAGTAATATATTTGTTAAACAAAATGTTTTTCTCTGAGCAATTTTATACAGTCATTATTGCTCATCTTTATCAAGGGTGTCAATAATTTTGGACCCCACTGTATATAATGAAACACTTCTTTCTAGCCAGAATTGCAAGTTGTTATTAACTACACTGTAACAACTGTCAGCGTGTCCCACACTCGGGGCTGGGGACCCAAGGGGTGCACGTTTTGGTTTTTGCCCTAGCACTACACAGCTGATTCAAATAATGAACTCATCCTAAAGCTTTCATTATTTGAATCAGCTGTATAGTTCTAGGGCAAAAACCAAAACGTGCACCCCTTGGGGTCCCCAGGACCGAGTTTGGTAAACGCTGGTGTAAGTAGTAGCTCTACAATGTTGCAGTGTGTAAGCTTTCTGTTAGATTGTCACTAGGCTGTTCTGTACAGACAATAACATTAACAAGACAATGTTACAGTTACACACAGCAGTTCTAAAACAGTTGTTGTTACTATTGGTAACACTGGCTCAAAAGAACATGTATCAAGAACATATCAGGTGCAAGCGCCTATAGTTTCTATAATAAACAGTATACCTTTGAGTCCTTGCGATTCAGATAAAGGTGTCAGAAACAATGTGACTACTACAGAGCCCGAGATGCAGCAGACAAAAAAATACTTACATTTACAGATTTTTTTTTTTCAGGGGGTGGGGGTCCCCCCCCCCAATTGTCCCCATGTTGGGGAATAAGAGCTCTGAAAGTCTAGGTTTGAGAAAATATGTCACCTATTACTGTGACAAAATTTCTCAGATCTTTTACCTAATGGTGGCGCTCTAAACGTGCAAATTCTCATTGGAACACAGCCATTTTAAAAGTGCAGGGCTTGTGCAACGTGTCATACCTTCATACCTTTTTCATCTTACAGTAATGATATATATACGAGGAGAAAGCTGAAGTCTCTACCTATTCACTGATGTAAATATATCCTCTGTGTGATTCCCAGTTCGTCCACTAGACAGCAGTAGGAGATCACATGACATCTCTTGGCCACTTGAAACCAGAATAAATTGGTTATAACAAACTCTGAACACCGTAACACGTGACAGCAAAATGGATGCAGAGGACGTGACAAATAAACTCGAAACGGTGTAATGTTTAGTTTTTGCTCAAGAGGTAAAGGGGAAGTCAGATGTGTGGAATAAATTTGACTAGTTGTGGAAAATACTGGAGATCAAGAAAAATAAGGTAAGGAGCAAGCGCTGCGTGCATATTATGTGTGCCAAACAGGTGCTGTTAGATTACAATATACATTTTTCTGACCGTTTAGAACAATGTAAATAACACTAAATAAATTATAAGCCTCCCAGAGAGTCTGTTGTGATAATGACATTACTTATTATTATAATGATGATCCTAATAAAAGTAGTAATAATTACATTTAAGTCATTTAGCAGACGCTCTTATCCAGAGCGACTTACAGTTAGTGAGTGCATAATTATTTATTTTTTCCGCTGAGTAAAGGAGAACGCGAAGGGATGCAACACTTCGCCAGCGCAGCTCAACCGGGCTACACCCCCCCCCCCCAAGAAACTATGATAAATCAGTACTTTACTTTGTCAAATTTACATCTGAGATGCCCCATTCACATGCTTCAGCTGGCGATCAAAAACGCCGTTAACGAGCACGACAACATTAATAGGCTGTTAGTGAAAGTCGGGCACCTGGTGAAAAGTGTACGCAAGAGCACAGAGGAAACCGACCAATTAGGTGTCCGCCCCACAAATGCCTGCGCCATTCGATGGAGCAGCCAGCTGCGGATGATTCAGTCGTTCATCCGGTTGTTCCAAAAAGACCCGTTATGGCAAAACAAACTCAAGTCTAATGTTGCTAACATCACCCTGAATCAAGTACCGCAGCTGACGCACCTTGTCCGTGTGCTGACACCACTAGCAGACCTCACAGACAAAATGCAGAAGGAGCTGGGGAACCTGGGGATGATCCTCCCTGCTGTCACATAAATCAAATCCCTGCTCACCGATTACACTCACGCTGCACTTCCAATGGGCATCGCTGCTTTTGCAGAAACATTGGCAAACAACGTGTCAATTCGCTATGGAATACTATACTGATTAACATCTCATTTTAGCGTCAGTGTTAGATCCCCGTTTCAAGACAGAATGGATAATCCGAGATGAGTCTGTATGCAACAAATTCGGGGAGATAAAGTAAGGCTGTGGTTTAAGCTAAAAGTGAAATACATGCAGATTTTGTTCCTTTTTTTGGAGTGAGCGGGGGGCGATTTGAGTGGAGCGCGATGCAAACTGCGTTGAGCGCTGAGCGATAATGAGCGGACTGGCCTGATGTGGCTTTGAGCGGGGGGAGCGGAGGGGTGAACAACTCCGTGAGCGAGGAGCTGAGATTCTCACCGCTCCACTCCGCTCATATGCTCTGGTGCATACATTATTTTTTTTCATACTGGCCCCCTATGGGAATCGAACCCACAACCCTGGCATTGCAAACGCCATGCTCTACCAACTGAGCTACATCCCTGCCGGCCATTCCCTCCCCTACCCTGGACGACGCTGGGCCAATTGTGCGCCGCCCCATGGGTCTCCCAGTCGCGGCCGGCTATGACAGAGCCTGGATTTGAAACCAGGATCTCTAGTGGCACAGCTATCACTGCAATGCAGTGCCTTAGACCACTGCGCCACTCGGGAGGTAATAACAATAAAAAGATCAAGGAAAAAGGAGTTATTATTATTATAAATATAATGTTTCTGACAATTTGGAACAGTGTAAACACTTAATCAATTATAATAATACCAGAGGCTGGTCTAATGAAAAAAAGTGTAAAGCCTTTGTTACAGCATAGAAAATATTAAAAACAGCCGAATTTGTGAAATTGTTTATCTGACGTGTGATTGCGTGAGGCTTAGAGCTCATGGTCAGTAGGCTATTAAACAAACACTCAAACAGGCAACAGAAGCAGGATCTGTCTTATTTCTGTAGATATATGTGACCAACCGGCTCGATTCGGTCTTATTTAGCAAAATAAAAGTCACCTTGTCCTAGAGAGATTTACATGGTTATCAAAACGTCACGCCAGGGTCAGCCTACACGAAACACATCCCTTATTTTAAGTGTTTCTAAAATTCCCTATGGCAGAAAATGATGGTGGAAAAACGATTCGACCTGTTTGACCGCTAGGTTTTATGGGTATTATGACACCTCCACTGTGGGGTTCTATTTATGTGGAATTAACAAACACAACCACGACTTTGACAGTAGCCTACCTGCACAGCGTTCGACACACTACAATTCGTATCGAAAACATGCCAGCAGCAACTTCATACGGTTTTCTGCGTGCAATTCGCAAAACCCTCTCTCATTCAACCTCTTTACTTCACAGGTCCAGTAGTGCTCATGAATCGGTTTACTTCCGTTGTGAATGCGCAGGCGCCAGAGATGCGATCAATCTGAGCAAAAGTTCTCATGACGCGGTAGCAGAGACAGCTGGAAAATATCTCAGGTAGGTGGGCGCACTGGGCGGGGTCGTCGAATGGCATCCCTTGACTCAATGTTGTTATTTACAGTGTTACAGTACTGTATTTAGAAGGATAGGAATGAGCAGTGGAGCTGCCTTTGTTCTCCCTTGTATAGGCAGCTTTATTATAGCGATGGTCAGCCATTATAGGTTGCAGACTGCATGGGTAGAGAGGCACATTGTCGGTGATGATCAGGGGCAATCATGTATTTGGACACGCTATGTAAATAATCAATATATGTCTGTCATCAAAGACTGCTATTTACTTGAGATAAGGATGCATTAGGATGACATGGCATCATGAGATGAAATCTCAAGTCTCTAGTGGCATTAGCAAATACATGCATCATCCCTACATATTTTGTTATGAGGCAGATGTCAACAGAACAGAGGGCTAGAGTTGCTTTGCTTTGGAATGTCAAACAAGCATGATTATACATTTGAGGGTTTAAAAATTCTGCATGGTTCCAAAACGGTCAATGATACAATAGAGATAATTCATTCAAATGTATGTTTGTATTATGCCTTGCCATACATTGATTGTGTCATAATTAATTTCAAAGCAAGTCAAGTAGTATCCCATATTCCCATATCTAATAATATGGGAAAACATGGGTTCCCTGTTGTGTAGGTTATGGATCATTTATAATGGCACACCCCTGGTTGTGCTTGATATTTATGCAGTACTACTGTACAGTAATGCAAGATCCTCGGTATTAGTATTGTAAATAAGTTTCTCTCCAAAATTACAATTAGTAGACAATGGATTTGAAAAGACTAACAAATGTGTATCACATTGAAATCTGAATTATGTTTAATAACCTGCAGCAAGCAATATACAGTAGTAGCTTACTTTAGGAAATCTGCAGTGAAGAGTTATCAAATGTATGAGTGTGATGAGTGTATGATACTGAAGGATTCATGATAATTGAACTGTACTCATACAGAATGGCTTATACACACACCCAACTTTTCCCTCTTGAGTTGTCTTGGAAACAGACCTGCATCTTACCATAGGCAGTAATGTACTATATTTGGTGCCATGTATTAACAACTTGGCTCCAATGTACCACATTACAGTGACTTGAGATAATCAGACCATAAGGGAGTCCAGTAACCATAGAGCTGTCATAAAACAACCATTAATGTGGCTTATTCAAGTTGGAATGAACTCTGCAGCCTCTCACTGTGTAGTATTCTATTCTATGTATCCCTACATGTTCTATTCTTTTCTATGTATTCCCAAACATTAATATTCTATTTTATTCTAATCTATTATCTCCATGCCCAGTTTTTTGCAGCGAAAATGGCAGTAGAGAAGCGCTTGGCATTCTCTATTGTGCAGTTCCTGCGAGATCAAATGCACTGTGGTGCTTTGAATTCCGATGAGCAGGAAAGCCTCGAAGGTAGGTCAGCGTAGGATCACTGTCTGTTCACAAAGTTTCTGGTAAAACTGCTTTTGAAAATACTGTACCCTGCTCTCTCCAATTCAGGGATTTGTAAACTTGGTTGGTGACTCAGTTGTGGGTGGACTATAATAACATGTGCACTATGTTTTCTTATCTAATGGACCTACACGTAGCTGCCAAAACAAAGGAAACACCAACATAAATTGTCATATTAGGGTATTGGGCTACCACGAGCCACCAGAACAGCTTCAATGTGCATTGGCATAGATTCTACAAGTGTCTAGAACTCTATTGGAGGGATGCAACACCATTCTTCCACAATAAATTCCATCATTTGGTGTTTTGTTGATGGTGGTGGAAAACGCTGTCTTGGCCGCCACTCCAGAATCTCCCATAAGTATTCAATTGGGTTGAGATCTGGTGACTGAGACAAACACACACACACACACACACACACACACACACACACACACACACACACACACACACACACACACACACACACACACACATATATACACACACACACACACAACAACTTTAAAACCACCTATGCTCCTATGAGACCCCTCTTTCAAAGTCACTGAGATCTCTTCTTCTAGCCATGGTAGCCAAAATAATGGGCAAACTGGGCATTTTTATACATGACCCTAAGCATGGGATGGGATGTTAATTGCTTAATTAAATCAGGAACCATACCTGTGTGGAAGCACCTGCTTTCAATATACTTTGCATCCCTCATTTACGCAAGTGTTTCTTATTTAGGTAGTTACCTGTATAACCATAATATAAACAGCTCCATTGAATTGAAGCTACTCAGTGTTGACTATTATGTAATTTCAACTATTTTTTTCCCTTGTAGTTGCAATACAATGTTTGGAGACCACCTTCAAGATCAACTCCAGTGACTGTCATCTCACAGCACCACAACCTCTCACTGAAATATTCCTGAATTCTCTCCTCAAGGTGGGGTTACTCTCTGATTCACTACCTTGTTTCAAACTCGTTTACCCAAACTACAACATTCACCTGTCTGTGTGCAGTTCATCAATCATGCTCAAATCAGTAACCTCACAATCAGTAAACTACAATAATGTATAATGTGTATGAGGCTTTATTGATATTTTACTTTATCTGTCATTGTATTTTCCTCAGAATGATCAGAATAACCCGGCGCCACCAGAGACGTCCCCATCACCAGAAGACACAGAGAGAGCAGAACAACTGAAGAATGAAGGTACCTGGCACTGTTTTAAAATGTAGTGTAGACTTATGATAAATACACGTTGGATGAGTGCAAACTCAGTTTTCCTTCATATTGACAATGTTTTGTAATGTTGTCATAAAATCTGTCAGTAGATGTGATCTGATCATCAGGCTGAAATAAAAAACAAAACAAAAAACGCCATTTCATTTTCAGGGAATAATCACATGAAAGAGGAGAACTACAGCTGTGCGGTGGAATGCTACTCAAAAGCCATTGATCTGGACCTCCGAAACGCTGTCTACTACTGCAACAGGTACACACAACCGCTTCTGAAAAAGTATTAACACTGTATTCAAATGAGAAATATATAACATAACACCTAAATTATGTCTGTATCTATTGTGTTTTTATACCAACTATATTGGTAATAATTTTTGTAAAACTGTGACAATAACTCATGATATGCTTGTACTATGCATAGATAATGCAGTCACAGTCACAGGACTGTCTGAGCTGAAAGACATAGTGGCATACACATCTGGTGAACCAGACTACTAGGCAGGCACACAGCTGCTGCAGCCTTTGCATGTGCCTGCCTTATTGATCTGAGTGCAAATAAATGAACCTGAGTGTCTGGTTGTGTGTCTGGCTGTTGCTGTTGTCGTCACCGCAGGGCTGCAGCCCACAGTAAACTGGGGAACTACACAGAAGCAACGGGGGACTGTGAGAGGGCCATAGGGATCGACCCCAGCTACAGTAAAGCCTATGGGAGAATGGGGTGAGTTAGACATGGGAGAGGAGTGGAAATGTTGTTTACAATGTCTAGTCATGTATCCTTTGAGGAATATGGCCTTTGTTTAGAGAGCAATAGTAGTATCTGATGATAATGCAAGAATTTGGCTTGAAAATAGTCATTGTTTTGCTCTGGAGTTAAACTTAATGCACTTCTCCAATGTATCTTATTCTCTGTGTGTCTCTAGATTGGCATTTACTGCTATAAATAAATACCCAGAGGCCATTTCCTACTTTAAGAAAGCTCTGGTGTTAGATCCAGAGAACGACACCTACAAATCCAACCTGAAGATTGTTGAGCAGAAGCAAAAAGAGGCAGCCAGTCCTGTAAGTAGTGCTGTTTTACCTCCTTGTGGAATTTCATGTCTGAAGGTCAATCTAAGCAAAAACACTATAACACATGTAATAATATATAATTACTCCCCTACAAATACTGGCACTACAGCGCCAATAATGGACACTTCATTTACATGTGAACACAACTCTCACTAGAGTTCTTCATGTACTATTAAATGTGTATCTTATATCCCACGGGTATTCAAGTGTGTCAAGATGTCACAGTTGTGTCAACAGCTGTATCAGACACAATTAAACATTCCTGCTTTGAGCAGTGGTACAAAATGATATCATACTGAACCTACAGACGGATTTTTCTTGTCAGATTCAGCTTCAAACTGCACTATGAAACAAAGATAAATGATATAAAGAATGATAGTCAAAAGCTTTGGAGCACCTTAAATACAATTTTGGCCAAAAAGGCAAACTCGGCTCCATCATTCATTGAATCAGATGGCTCATTCATCACAAAACGCACTGGTATTGCCAACTTCTTTCATGATTTTTTCATTGGCAAACTTAGACATGACATGCCAACAACAAATTCTGAACCTACACATCCATGCATAACTAACCAAATTATGAAAGACAAGCATTGTAATTTTGTTGTCTATCACAATGACAAGCCACCTGGGTCTGACAACTTGGATGGAAAATTTCTGAGGATGATAGCGGACGATATTGCCACTCCTATTTGCCATCTCTTCAATCTAAACCTACAGGAAAGTGTGTGTCCTCAGGCCTGGAGGGAAGCAAAATTCATTCCGCTATGCAAGAATAGCAAAGCACCCTTTACTGGCTCAAACAGCCAACCAATTAGCCTGTTACCAAACCTTAATAAACTTTTGGAAATAATTTAGTTTGACCAGATACAATGCTATTTCACAGTAAACAAATTAATAACAGATTTTCAGCACGCTTATAGCAAAGGGCATTCAACATGTACGGCACTTACACAAATGACTGATAATTGGCTGAGAGAAATTTATAATAAAAAGATTGTGGAAGCTGTTTTGTTAGATGTCAGTGCAGCCTCTGACATTATCGATCATAATCTGCTGCTTGAAAAAACGTATGTGTTATGACTTTAGATCCCCTGCTATATTTTGGATTGAAAGTTACCTGTCTAACAGAACTCAGAGGGTGTTCTTTAATGGAAGCCTCTCCAACATAATCCAGGTAAAGTGAGGCATTCCCCAGGGCAGCTGTCTAGGCCCCTTACTTTTTTCAGTCTTTACTAATGACCTGCCACTGGCTCTGAGTAAAGCATGTGTGTCTATGTATGCTGATTACGCAACACTATACACGTCAACTACCACAGCAAGTGAAATCCCTGTAAGCAACACTTAACAAAGAGCTGCAGTCAGTTTCAGAATGGGGTGGCAAGAAATAACTAAAAGCATTGTATTTGGGACAAATCATTCACTAAACCCTAAACCTCGACTAAGTCTTGTAATGAATAATGTGGCAATTGAGCAAATTGAGGAGACTAAACTGCTTGGATTAACCCTGAATTGTAAACTGTCATGGTCAAAACATATTGATGCAACAGCAGCTAACATGGGGAGAGGTCTGTCCATAATAAAGCGTTGCTCTGCCTTCTTAACAACACTATCAACAAGGCAGGTCCTACCGGCTGGCCCTTAAATGTACATTTTTTCTTTTTTTCTTTTTTTTTTACATGGAAAGCTAAGTGTACACTGGCTCAAAATAGAGGAGAGATTGACTTCATCACTACTTGTGAGAAGTATTGACATGTTGAATGCACCAAGCTGTCTGTTTAAACTACTAGCACACAGCTCAGACACCCATGCATACCCCACAAGACATGCCGTCAGAGGTCTCTTCACAGTCCCCAAGTCCAGAACAGACTATAGGAGGCGCACAGTACTACATAGAGACATGACTACATGGAACTCTATTCCACATCAAGTAACTCATGCAAGCAGTAAAATCAGATTTAAAAAACAGATAAAAATACACTTTATGGAGTGTGAAGAGACGGGGAGTGTGAAGAGACACACACACAGGCACAGACACATGTATACATACACACGATAACATACGTACTATAAACACGTACACATGGATTTTGTGTTGTAGATACAGTATGTGGTAGTAGAGTAGTGGCCTGAGGGCACACACTTAATGTGTTGTGAAATGTATTGTAATGTTTTAAAAATGGTATATAACTGCCTTAATTTTGCTGGACCCCAGGAAGAGTAGCTGCTGCCTTGGGAGCAGCTAATGCGGATTCATAATAAATACAAATACAAAAATGAAGCCTTTGAATGTTTGCTTGTTATAGACAGCTACTGGACTGGGATTTGACATGGCCAGCCTCATCAACAACCCTGCCTTCATCAGCATGGTAAGACTGTGATTAGTGCTGGGCTGGAACAAACACCTGCACACAGCATATACTGTGCATTCGGAAAGTATTCAGACCCCTTCCCTTTTTCCACATTTTGTTACGTTACAGCCTTATTCTAAAATGAATAAAATAAAATAAATATCTCATCAATCTACACACAATACCCCATAATGACAAAGTGGAAACAGGTTTATACATTTATTTTGATTTGGAAAGGTACACACCTGTCTATATAAGGTCCCACAGTTGAGCAAAAACCAAGCCATGAGGTCGAAGGAATTGTCCGTAGAGCTCCAAGACAGGATTGTGTCGAGGCACAGATCTGGGGAAGGGTACCAAAACATTTCTGCATTGAAGGTTCCCAAGAACACAGTGGCCTCCATCGTTCGTAAATGGAAGAGGTTTGGAACCACCAAGACTCTTCCTAGAGCTGGCCGCCCGGCCTAAACTGAGCAATCGGGGGAGAAGGGCCTTGGTCAGGGAGGTGACCAAGAACCTAATGGTCACTCTGACAGAGCTCCAGAATTCCTCTGTTGAGATGGGAGAACCTTCCAGAAGGACAACCATCTCTGTAGCACTCCACCAATCAGGCCTTTATGGTAGAGAGGCCAGACGGAAGCCACTCCTCAGTAAAAGGCACATGACAGCCTGCTTGGAGTTTGCCAAAAGGCACCTAAAGGACTCTCAGACCATGAGAAACAAGATTCTCTGGTCTGATGAAACCAAGATTGAACTCTTTGGCCTGAATGCCAAGCGTCACGTCTGGAGGAAACCTAGCACCATCCCTACGGTGGAAGCATGGTGGTGGCAGCATCATGTTGTGGGGATGTTTTTCAGCAGCAGGGACTGGGGGACTAGTCAGGATCGAGGGACAGATGAACAGAGAAAAGTTCAGAGAGATCCTTGATGAAAACCTGCTCCAGAGCGCTCAGGACCTCAGACTGGGGCGAAGGTTCACCTTCCTACCGGACAACGACCCTAAGCACACAGCCAAGACAACACAGGAATGGTTTCGGGACAAGTCTCTGAATGTCCTTGGCCCAGTCAGAGCCCGGACTTGAACCCGATCAAACATCTCTGGAGAGACCTAAAAATAGCTGTGCAGCGATGCTCCCCATCCAACCTGACAGAGCTTGAGAGGATCTGCAGAGAAGAATGGGGAAAAACTCCCCAAATACAGGTGTGCTAAGCTTGTAGCGTTATACCCAAGAAGACTCAAGGCTGTAATCGCTGCCAAAGGTGCTTCAACAATGTAGTGAGTAAAGGGTCTGAGTACTTATGTAAATGTAATATCCGTTTTTTATTTTTATACATTTGCAAAACATTTCTAAAAACCTGTTTTTGCTATGTCATAATGGGGTATTGTGTGTAGATTGATGAGAGAGAAAAAAACTATTTAATCCATTTTAGATTAAGACTGTAACGTAACAAAATGTGAAAAAGTCAAGGGGTCTGAATACTTTCTGAATGCACTGTACCTGGGTGGAAATAGATGTTGTTTTCCTTAAGGTACTTTAGGTGTGCTTATACAGTGCACCAGATGTGGGAGGTGGGGGTATGCACTTTTGGGACTATGCCATTGGTTCTATTACATCAGACAAGTAAATCAAGCGCACCTGCAATATTTGAAAGAAAATAAATACTATATTCGACCCAGGTCTAAACCACATTGCAGTCCCTCCAGGGCCAAAGCCATCCCTGGTCTAGACAAATCCTTAACACAGGTTCCTCATACTTATTTTATGAGTGTTTGTGATACGGTTACTAGTGGAGAATGCTTCCTAAAATTGACCACATGCCTGACACAGTTGGCCTGGTATTCCACCAATGCCATTGTCAAGGGGCCTGGGGACATTCAAGGGGTTGATCATGACTGGTTGATTGAACGGGTGGCTGATGGAATGCCTGCCAGGCAGAGAGTGCATGTCTTTATAAGCATACCAATCCTCCATGGCAGCAGCTGGGCTGAATCATAGTTTTACTAGACAGCTATGAAATTGGTACCAGCGCTAAGTAGCCACGCCACTGGAGAATGCATCTGGTTCCCCCTTAACGCTGTTAATTAATTGTCCTTTTCACACATTTAAATGGGAGACATGGTGATTGGCTTTGTGTGTATTTGCAGGCCGCCAGTGTGATGCAGAACCAGCAAGTGCAACAGCTGTGAGTGTTCTGCATGTTTCAGCATACACAGGGCTGGGGCTCAATAGTGTGAGGTGTCCTTTCCTCATCTCGTTTCCTTCATCTGCACTGATCTGAATGAATAAATAGGTGAAAGCCACCCCACTGAAACTATTGAGACACAGCTCATCAATATTACCCCTACCTACAGTATATGTACAGTACATAGCTACCTTCAATTACCTCATACCCCTGCACATCGACTTGGTACTGGTACTCCCTGTATATAGTCATGTTATTTTTACTCTTTATTTGTATTCGTTATTAAGTGTGTATTTATTCCTTGTGTCACAATTTCTATTTTTTATTAAAATGTGTATCTTATCTTTAACTCTGCATTGTTGGAAAAGGACCCGTAAGTAAGCATTTCACTGTTAGTCTACACCTGTTGTCTACGAAGCATGTGACAAATAAAATTTGATTTATGTTTTACTTTACAAAAATACCCTACATCCCACTAATTCATAATCCTGTGATCATTGCTTGAAGAAAGTCAGAATTTAGGAATTACTGTTCAATTATGCTCAGATGTGTTACAAGGTTTTTGTCATAAAATGGCGTGTGACACATGTTTATAACTCTTTTGGGTTTTCTCTCTCTCTGTGGGCAGTATGTCAGGGATGATGTCCAATGCAGTGGGGGGTCCAGCAGCAGGAGTGGGGGGACTGTCGGACATCTCCAGCCTGATTGAAGCGTATGGCAGCACCATAGGGTTATTACTGTAACATACACAGGGACTCACATTAGGGCTCTAATTACACATTTAAAAAAGCATCAGACATCAAGAATTAGTGAGGTTTCATTTTGACTAAATTATCATGAATGTTCCTTGACATTTTAAAAGATTTTAGATAGTTTCCTTTAAATATTTGATGTAGGATGCTACATCCTAGTTGTATCACAAGCTGCCTGACACAATGAGTACATTAACATGATAAGTAAAGCAGAGAAACACTAAATGCTAACTCCCCTGGTCTCTCTCCGTTTGCAGCGGTCAGCAGTTTGCCCAGCAGATCCAGCAGCAGAACCCAGAGCTGATCGAACAGCTGAGGAACCACATCCGCAGCCGGTCCTTCAGTGGCAACGCTGAGGAGCACTCGTGATCCACACAGGTCTGTGTACTACAACACAGAGGTTAGGGCTCGCTCTTAGGATGCATCTCCATAGTCTAAAGAGGCTTCCTCCCCTTCATGTGCTCTAATGGAATGGTGAGAATTAACATGGAGAATGCGGTGGATTTGCTTTCACCTGTCCAGTTATATCATAGCAGAGACCTAACATTTGATTGTACATGTGCGCTTTTGTTTTACCGGCAATAGATGGTTATTAATTACTTAAACTGTTATTACCATGTTCTTACACAAGGTGAAAAGGACATTTGAATGCATATAAATGTTTCTTACCTTCAGCGTACGTTTCAATAAAGGAAGGGCAACCATATGACGTGATTACACCCGTTCCTTAAACTTACATCACCGGCAGAGCTGGAATGAAGAGACATATGTGGATGATGCCACTTTACTATGACTGGATCTTCAGAGAGGAGAGGAAAGAGGAGAAACATTTTACAACCCAATCAGGAGAAAGAATATCCAACACATTCTATGTACACTGAACATACAGTTGAAGTCGGAAGTTTACATACACCTTAGCCAAATACATTTAAACTCAGTTTTTCACAATTCCTGACATTTAATCCTAGTAAAAATTCCCTGTTTTAGGTCAGTTACGATCACCACTTTATTTTAAGAATGTGAAATGTCAGAATAATAGTAGAGAGAATTATTTATTTCAGCTTTTCTTTCTTTCATCACATTCCCAGTGGGTCAGAAGTTTACATACACTCAATTAGTATTTGGTAGCATTGCCTTTAAATTGTTTAACTTGGGTCAAACATTTTGGGTAGCCTTCCACAAGCTTCCCACAATAAGTTGGGTGAATTTTGGCCCATTTCTCCTGACAGAGCTGGTGTAACTGAGTCAGGTTTGTAGGCCTCCTTGCACGCACAAGCTTTTTCAGTTCTGCCCACAAATGTTCTATAGGAGTGAGGTCAGGGCTTTGTGATGGCCACTCCAATACCTTGACTTTTGCCACAACTTTGGAAGTATGCTTGGGGTCATTTGCGACCAAGCTTTAACTTCCTGACTGATGTCTTGAGATGTTGCTTCAATATATCCACATAATTTTCCTTCCTCATGATGCCATCTATTTTGTGAAGTGCACCAGTCCCTCCTGCAGCAAAGCACCCCCACAGCATGATGCTTCCACCCCTGTTCTTCACGGTTGGGATGGTTTTCTTCGGCTTGCAAGCGACCCCCTTTTTCCTCCAAACATAACGATGGTCATTATGGCCAAACAGTTCTATTTTTGTTTCATCAGATCAGAGGACATTTCTCCAAAAAGTACGATCTTTGTACCCATGTGCAGTTGCAAACCTTAGTCTGGCTTTTTTATGGCGGTTTTGGAGCAGTGGCTTCTTCCTTGCTGAGCGGCCTTTCAGGTTATGTCGATATAGGACTCGTTTTACTGTGGATATAGATACTTTTGTACCTGTTGCCTCCAGCATCTTCACAAGGTCCTTTGCTGTTGTTCTGGGATTGATTTGCACTTTTCGCACCAAAGTACGTTCATCTCTAGGAGACAGAACGCGTCTTCTTCCTGAGCGGTATGACGGCTGCGTGGTCCCATGGTGTTTATAGTTGCGTACTATTGTTTGTACAGATGAACGTGGTACCTTCAGGCATTTGGAAATTGCTCCCAAGGATGAACCAGACTTGTGGAGGTCTACAATTTTTTTTCTGAGGTGTTGGTTGATTTCTTTTGATTTTCCCATGATGTCAAGCAAAGAGGCACTGAGTTTGAAGGTAGGCCTTGAAATACATCCACAGGTACACCTCAAATTGACTCAAATGATGTCAATTAGCCTATCAGAAGCTTCTAAAGCCATCACATAATTTTCTGGAATTTTCCAAGCTGTTTAAAGTCACAGTCAACTTAGTGTATGTAAACTTCTGACCCCCTGGAATTGTGATACAGTGAATTATAAGTGAAATAATCTGTCTGTAAACAATTGTTGGAAAAATTACTTGTGTCATGCACAAAGTAGATGCCCTAACCGACTTGCCAAAACTACAGTTTGCTAACAAGAAATTTGTGGAGTGGTTGAAAAACGAGTTTTAATGACTCCAACCTAAGTGTATGTGAACTTCCGACTTCAACTGTAAATATGAACGCAACATGTAAAGTGTTGGTCCCATGTTTCATGAGCTGAAATAAAAGATCCCCGAAATGTTCCATACGCACAACAAGCTTATTTCTCTCAAATGCTGTGCACAAATTTGTTTACTTCCCTATTAGTGAGCATTTCTCCTTTGCCAAGATAATCCATCCACCTGATAGGTGTGGCATATCAAGAAGCTGATTAAACCGCATGATTATTACACAGGTGCACCTTGTGCTGGGGACAATAAAAGGCCACGCTAAAACGTGCAGTTGTCACACACCACCACAGATGTCTCAAGTTTTGAGGGAGCATGCAATTGGCTGTTGCCAGACAAGTTGATGTTAATTTCTCTACCGTAAGCCACCTCCAATGTCGTTTTAGAGAATTTGGCAGTACGTTCAACCGGCCTCACAACCACAGACCAAGCGTATGGCATCGTGTGGGCGAGCGGTTTGCTGATATCAACATTGTGAACAGAGTGCCCCATGGTGGCAGGCATAAGCTACGGAAAATGAACACAATTGCATTTTATCGATGGCAATTTGAACGCACAAAAATACCTTGACGAGGCCCGGAGGCCCATTGTGAGGCCCTTTTTTTTTTTTTAAAGGTATCTGTCACGAACAGATGCATATCTGTATTCCCAGTTATGTGAAATCCATAGATTAGGGCTTAATGAATTTATTTCAATTGACTGATTTACTCTTATGAACTGTAACTCAGTAAAATCAATTAAATTGTTGCATGTTGCGTTTATATTTTTGTTCAGTATAGATGATACTCAATCAGGAAACAGAGTTTCAAACACATTCTAGATACCCAATTAGTTTCAAACACATTCCCACCAATCATTATGCACAGTTCTAGAGACCCAATCAGGAGACTAGTTTTATTTTATCTTTCCTCAATGATGTTCCATTCAAATCAAATAAAGTTTATTTGTCGTGTCCACAGATTAGCAGATGTTAAAGCAGGTGCAGCGAAATGCTTGGTTTCTAGCTCCAGCAGTGCAGTAAATGTCTAACAGTACAATACTAATACACAATAAAACAAAAAAAGAGAGAGAATCAAGAAATTTAGAAATATCAGAACGAGGATTATTCCAAATGGATTTCTGTGTTTTTCAATATTGTTTGTATATTGTGCTGTGGTAGCAATGTCCAAACCATTGCCCTGTTCCTATACTGAATTACAGATCCTTTGGTCCTCTGAAAGATTTCACTGATCCAACAGAATTGTACGTAGGAGAATGCAGGGGTATATTCAGTGAGGGGAAACCTGATAGAAATTAAGTTAATAGAGCTGATACAATTCCCTATTCTACATGACAGGCAATTGTATCTGGTCTACACAATACAGTTCTATGTTAACGTTCTGTAACATTGCACCTGTCAGTACTGGCCCCAGGATTTGACTTATTAATATTGCTTGTAGTAATTGCCTTGATGAGGGAAAGGGAGGAAGGAATTGCAGGTGAGAAGGGGAGGAAGGAATTAAGGAAGGGGTAAATGGAGGAAGGAGTTAAGGAAGGAGTGAAAGGGAGGAAGGAATTAAGGATGGAGTGAAAGGGAGGAAGGGGATATTAAGGAAGGCGTGAAAGGGATAAAGGATGCATGTGTGAAGTATTTGAACAGGGAGCACATATCCTTTTCTCATGATTACATGACAGTTGCACACGACAGAAGGGTTACATTATTTTCTATTCTATCATGTTCAAACAGTTATTTTTGTACCAAATGATTTGCTATAGTTATTGTTGGGTGAAACAAAGCCCCTAAGCCTTGATCATGTGGAATTCTAGCATTGCTTTGGATAGCAATTATCTGACTGCTAATTTGAAGATAAAGGAATGTATGTCCTTGAAAGTATGAATAGTGTATGCAGCCCAACACCCCTGTATTTACAACCATAGCAAACACACACGTCAATGCCATTTCCCTTTTGATTCGGTTTCATTTGACATGGCTGAAGCAATGTTGATAGCTAGTATAAGACTCATTCATATCTGTCAGACAAGCTAATGAATATGCCTGTAAAACAGAGCAGCATAATGTTTTGTCAAAAAATATGTCTCAATAAAAATGTCTTGAAATTGATAGTTGTTGAAAGTCTTGTTGTGAAATCATATAATGAAATCGCTTCAGAGGCAGATGTGTGTATAGTGCACAATAATACACGTTTTTCTAGCGAAGCACAACAAACCATGGATTAAGTTCATGCTTTTATTCACATTTAAATGCACATTCATTTAAAATCCATATTTTTTTGCAAAGAAAACATTAAAAACATAAGATCTGTTAAAACGTGATAACCTTGGGGTGTGTACAGTAAGGTGATAGTATAGGTGCAGAGTTTGGAAGTTGGTCCATGGAGATGTGAGATTTATAGTGCTGGGTTCTAGAAGCGTCTGGAAGGGTCTTAGCTCTCCCGGCTCATGTATGGACAGACCACACACACCTGTGCAATGTCATCGTATTCATATGTCCTCTTCAGAAATGTGTCGGTTAGTCTCAGGCCAGATATACTCTGAAATACAAGCAAATGGTAATTAGTTATGGTTATTATCGGCAATAGATTTTAAACTATTAACAGTCAAAGCGAGACGTAACATAATAATAAGCCTTGCCTATAATAAGACATCATAAAGGGTCATACATGCTTAGTGGGTAACACTGAAAGCATCCAGGTATAATGCATTGTGATGCAGTTACAATGCATTGTAAGGCTTCTCATGAGCATGTATGACCCCATTTAGGCCAATTGAATGTTTAATGGATTAATTTTTTGTTGTTGAGGTGAGCGAGCAACTAAAACATTGAAAAGTGGACCTTCTTGCTAAAATACTATAGCAAACTTAGTTCAACAGCTAGCGACCTAATCAATAGATTTTAGCCTCTTGAGGAGGATAAAAGAGGCGAAGTTCAACCATAATCCGTGAGGAAGTTGTGTATATCTCTTTACTGGAGGCTTGAGGACATTATTTTTGCTATTATCTTTGTTATAATATTGTAACTTTTTCATTTTTCAGATTCCATTTTTATTTTTGAGGAAAGTGAAGAGGGGCATTCGTAAAATATTTAATTAAAATGGTATGGCCTTATATCTTTTAATCATCTCACAATGATCCACACTAAATCACAGCCAGTTTGAAACAGTTAAATGTTATGCATCGAGGGACATAACATATTATAAGTCTTGTTAAAAGACATCTTGTATTACATGCTTATGACAAGTATTAAAGCTTGATACCTCTCTGCTTTAAGCTAAGTGTTACCAAGTATTATAACATGAATAACTTTTGAAATACCTGCAGTCCCTGGACAGAGGAGAGGAGTTTGAGGGGCAGAGCGAGTGAGGCACTGGGGCTGACTTTGCCTAGCTGTCTCCCTGATACACCACACCAGTGGATGGAGCAGGTGTTACACATCTCCAGCACCAGGTCCATGGTCCTCTCACTGCAACAACACACACACAGCCTGGTTACACATCTGTATGTTCTTTAACCAAGCCATCTGACTATCGGTTGTCATTCCTTCTTGTACATTAATGAAATGGCATGACAATGACAGACAGGGGAGTTGACTAAAGCATATAAAGATCAGTATGTGTATAGCAGAATTGAGGTCAATTCCATTTCAATTCAGTCAACTGAATTGAAATGGTATATACCCCAACCCTGGTGTACAATAATATTTGAGGAGTCTGTATGACTATACCTGCAGTTGGTGATTTTACAGGTTATGTCGAAGGGTTCCTCTAGGTTGACGGTGTCTGGGATCATCTCCAGTGATAGCCTGACATCTCCATAACCTGGAGCCTGGCGGAGACGAGGGGGAAAAAATACCTTGATGAAGGTCGACTGAGACCGAAACGTTGGTACATAAGATGCATACATTTTTTGGAAGCATCAAGATTAGCAGTATTCTTCTTTTTAATAAGGAGACGAGAGGAAAACCAACTCATACTGGTCAACACACAATAATAATAATTACACTCTCCGATCCAGGCAATAGCACAGAATAACTGTCACGACTTCCTCCGAAGCTGCCTCCTCTCCTTGTTCTGGCAGGCTTCGGCGTTCGTCTTCACCGGCCTTCTAGCCACTGTCGCTCCTCTTTTCATCATTACATTTGTTTTGTCTTGTTTTTCAAACACACCTGGTTCATATCCCCTCATCAGTCTCTGTATAAGTATTCCCTCTGCTCCCCATGTCTTTGTGTGTTATTGTTTCCATGTGGAGGTGTCACTAGCTCAGTTGAGCATTATGTACTTTTATTGCCGGGATATTCACCCGTGTGTTTTTGTTTTCCCAGTACACATTGAAGGTGCACTGTATTTGGTTTACGCATTGCTGCTAACTGCTGTATTGGACGAATAAACCGTATTCTGTGATTCACACCTCCTGCGCCTGACTCCGTCCGAATCACCCGCTACAGAATAACACACCCAACAGCATGGAGTCAGCAGGAGCGGGGAATATGCCTGGAGTCGTTAAGCGGTTGCGGGAGCATTCCAATATATTAGCCAGCTTGGGCGAAGCGATGGATTGGGTTCTCTAGGCCGTCCAGCGCCTGGAGAGTAGAGGACCCGACCCTGCGGAACCAGCTGAGCGACCGGATCCAGCCATCCACATACCAGCACCCAGTGGTATTCACCTGTCCGGGTGGAACGAGCGGTGCCTCATCGACCAATTCCGATGCAGCCTGCGTGAGGACGTCCGAAGGGAGCTAGCCTGCCGGGATACCACTCTGACCTTCGACCAACTGGTGGACATTGCCATCCGGTTGGACAACCTGCTGGCTTCGAGAGGACGTCCTGGTAGGGGCCTGCCCATTTCACCCCCCCTCACCACAGCTCACGTTCCGATGGAGCAGGGTGGTGCAGCGGTCCAGAAGAACGGAGGACGACAGATCCAGTGTCACTCTTGTGGCAGAAGAGGACATTCTGCTACACGATGTCGTCAGAGTTCTTCTGGTTCTGGAGGCGGCAGGCAGGGCGCTCTCGTGTCACCCCAGGGAGTGCAAATCCACACTCGTTCAGTGCCCTCTGCTGCACAGTTAACCATCCACGTCCACTTCCCTGATTACACGGTAGGTCCCCAGTGTAAGGCACTAGTAGATTCAGGAGCAGCTGGGAACTTTATGGACAGGTCTTTAGCTTTTACGTCTTACATTGGTTCCCCTATCCATTCCATTGCCCATCAAAGCACTTGACAGTCGACCATTAGGGTCAGGTTTTGTTAGGGAGGTTACAGCACCAGTCACTATGATTACACAGGAGACCCATAGGGAGCAAATCACCTTTCATATTCTTGAGTCCCCTGATTTCCCTGTTGTGTTGGGCCTTCCCTGGCTAGCACTACACGACCCAACCTTTTCATGGCCGCAGAGGGTTCTCACGGGGTGGTCGCGAGAGTGTCAGGGTAGGTGTCTAGCTGTTTCTGTTGGTGTGACCACCGTAACCTGGAGTACATCCGGGCAGCAAGGAGGCTGAACCCTCGCCAGGCCAGGTGGGCCTTGTTCTTCACCCTTTTTGATTTCACGCTGTCCTATATACCAGGCACTAAAAACGTGAAGGCAGATGCACTGTCACGGCAGTACGACACAGAGGAGAGGCCCATTGACAACACCCCATACTCCCGGCCTCCTGCATTGTGGCGCCGGTGGTGTGGGCAGTGGACGCGGACATAGAGCGGGCGTTACGCACAGAGCCATCTCCACCTCAGTGCCCAGCTGGGCTTCGGTACGTGCCATCTAGTGTCTGTGATCGTCTTATCTATTGGGCACACACGTCCCCCTCCTCTGGTCACCCAGGCATCGGCCGTACGGTGCGCTGCCTGACCGGGAAGTACTGGTGGCCTACCTTGGCTAAGGACGTGAGGGTGTATGTCTCCTCCTGCTCGGTGTGCGCCCAGAGTAAGGCACCTAGGCACCTTCCAGCGGGTAAGTTACATCCCTTACCAGTTCCACAACGGCCATGGTCCCACTTATCGATCGATTTCCTAACTGATCTACCCTCCTCTCAGGGTAATACCACCATCCTGGTCGCTGTGGACCGCTTCTCTAAAGCCTGACGCCTCCTTCCTCTGCCCGGTCTCCCCACGGCCCTGCAAACTGCGGAAGCCCTGTTTACTCATGTCTTCCGGCACTACGGGGTGCCAGAGGACATAGTGTCTGACCGGGGTCCCCAGTTTACGTCTAGGGTCTGGAAGGCGTTCATGGAACATCTGGGGGTCTCAGTCAGCCTTACCTCTGGGTTTCACCCCGAATCTAATGGGCAGGTGGAATGGGTGAATCAGGATGTGGATAGGTTCCTGTGGTCCTACTGCCAGGACCGGCTGGGGGAGTGGTCGGTGTTCTCGCCTTGGGCCGGTCCTGGCACCGTGGCATCAGAGCCAGACTGAAGCTCCTGCGGTGGAAGACTGGTTTCGGCACGCGGAGGAGACGTGGAACGCCGCCCACGTCCACCACCAGCGCGGCGTGCGGCACCAGAAGGCCAACGCTGACAGCCACCACAGTGAGGCCCCGGTCTTTGGATCGGGTCTGGCTCTCGACCCGGAACCTGCCCCTCCGCCTGCCCTGCCGGAAGCTGAGCCCACGGTTTGTGGGGCCGTTCAAAGTCCTGAGGAGAGTGAACGAGGTTACGTATAGGTTGCTGCTCCCTACTGATTACCGTATTAACCCCTCGTTTCACGTGCATCTCCTCAGGCCGGTGGTGGCTGGTCCGCTCCAGGAGTCTCAGGTGAGGGAGGTCCCTCCGCCCCCTCTGGACATTGAGGGGGCCCCGGCGTACTCTGTCCGTTCCATCCTGGATTCGAGGCATCGGGTGGGGGGCCTTCAGTACCTCGTGGAGTGGGAGCGGTACGGTCCGGAGGAGCGGTGCTGGATCCTGGTGAAGGATGTCCTCGATCCCTCCCTGTTGCGATATTTCCACCGTCGCCTCCGTATCGCCCTGCTCCGCGTCCTCCTGGCCGTCCCCGAGGCCTGTGTGCTGGAGCTGCGCGTCAAGGGGGGGGGGGGGGTACTGTCACAACCTCCCCTGAAACTTCCTCCTCTCCTTGTTCTGGCAGGCTTCGGCGTTCGTCGTCACCGGCCTTCTAGCCACTGCCGCTCCTTTTTTCATAATTACATTTGTTTTGTCTTGTTTTTCACACACACCTGGTTCATATCCCCTCATCAGTCTCTGTATAAGTATTCCCTCTGCTCCCCATGTCTTTGTGTGTTATTGTTTCCATGTGGAGGTGTCGCTAGCTCAGTTGAGCATTATGTACTTTTATCGCCGGGATATTCACCTGTGTGTTTTTGGGTGGTCGTTTGGTTGGTACCCCTGGGCAACAGGCTTTGTGACATCACATTTTGGTGTAGGCCAATTTGGAAACGAATGACTGCATTACCCAATTGAGAATATATTGCGAATACAATCATCATCTTGAGCTATGCTATTTTCATTGTAATTCTCCAATGAGTCACATTTGGCAACAGCCCAGGTATGACTCTGACAAAAACAAGAACAATGACTACATCAACACCACCACTCAACATCAACATCACCACTCAACATCATCACCACCACTCAACATCAACATCACCACTCAACATCATCACCACCACTCAACATCAACATCACCACTCAACATCATCACCACCACTCAACATCACCACCACTCAACATCATCATCACCACTCAACAAATGACCACAAAGACAACCACAGCATTGAGACTGAGAATGTCCTGTTATGCAACAACCATACTGTATACTGTGACTATGAACCATATACTGTAACTGATAATGTAGTGGTACCATTCTCTGTAGCTGGCTTGTCTGCAGCCTTCCTCTTTCTCCTAAGTTGGTCTTCCACACAATGTCCAGTTTGCCGATCACCGTCACGCCCTTGATGACGCCTGCCTTCTCTGCGAACTCTGGCTTGGGCTTCAGACAGTAGAGGTACTGGCGCGTGTCCATGGGCTGCAGGTAAGACATCTTTCCAAACGTAGACGTTCTGGAACACAGTCAGGGTGGAGAAGTCTGAGCTGACACTGAAAACCTATTACCTTTGACATATAGTGGGGGCGTCTTCAGCTACACTGATAAAACCTGGCAGAGTGAATGCTGTATTTTGTAAGCAGCATAGTTTCCAATCAGAATAGTCATACAGCTTTCACAGTCTAAATGTTTTAACAAAAAAGCAGTAAAATAACACTATAAGTATCGACACTCGAAACTCTTGTTGGTTTCCTTTTTCTTCTTCACATGTATATCTTTCTTATTTTACTGCCTTTTTACTGAACAATCCAAACATAACTAAAATACGTTTGTGTGAGATGTGTGTGTCTCCCTTACCCTACGTCCCCAGTCTCCACGGTGTTGAGCTCAGTGACGTTGTACATCATGGAGGGCTCCAGGGACACTTTCTCCATGAACATGGGCAATGTGGTGATGTTCTGGATCTGGGCCTCCAGGAACACCTCGTCTGTCTGGGGTCAGGGGTCAGCGCTAACGTTAGACGCTAATGCTAACTAGAGGAATAGCTCAAAGGACCTAACTGGGCAGCGCTTCGACTTAAATTCCCTTTCAATGTACTTATATTGGCCACTAAAGGGGATATTGTAGATTTCATTTAGGCCTAGTGTGTGTCACATTTTTCTGAAAACATGTAATTTATACAGGTAGAATCTAGAAAACACCACAAATTACCTGTATAACCTAGGCATGTACTGTATGAATGTGTCAGAAATGTTACACGGGGGACCAGTATGAAAAAAATAAAAATTTATGCACTCACTAACTGTAAGTCGCTCTGGATAAGAGCGTCTGCTAAATTACTAAAATGTAAATGCAAAAATATAAATTAGAACTCCAGTAAGACAGGGTTTTCATGTCTTTGTCAGTCCTATGAAAAACCAACCAGTGGGGCCCAAATGGAGTACCAAAGTCTGCTCAGTTTACCTTTGAGGAGTGGATTAGTACTGAACTGAACAGAGGAGCGCTCTGAGATTAGTTCATGCCTGCAATTCAAAGGCTAGTGATTAAGTAGGGACCACAGACAGAAACATTCTGCCAGACAGCTAGACAGACAGACTGGGGTTATTGTTACAGAGCAGAGCACCTCTATTTTACATCTCCCATGCCGAGCCTGACCAATCATCCAACCCAACGCCTCAGATCGGACACATCTCAAATAGCACCCTATTCCCCATGTGGTGCAGCTATTTTTGGCCAGAGCCTTATGTGAAGAATGTTTCACTTTATTTGATCTATTTGGACTCTTGAAAGAGTTTATTTCAGTTAAAGAGTGAAGTAAACATATACATTCACAATCAGATTCATAATCACCAACTCTACAAACATCATTAAAATGTAAAGCATCAGAGATTGGTACTGGATTTCGATTGAAAAATATCATTCAAATCTACATTCTGAATCCAATCATTCAAAAGAACTGTAGAAATGGAAACCCCACTACAATCATACAGACCTTTGTCTGAAATGGCACCTTATTCACTATAGTACACTACTTTTGACCAGAGCCCTAAGTAGTGCACTATATAGGGAATAGGGCACCATTTCGCAGCCCTAGACCAATTTTGTCTTGGGCTGCGAAAGTCCTGTGACAGATGAGTTAGCGAGAGGGCAAACGCCTTGAAGAGGAAAAGTCAGAGCAATGGCAAAACAGTGGAAAAAGCATTTCATGGACCTTTATTAAAGCAGCATGATACCTGATTTCCTTGCAAAAAGTAATATCTCACTAGTCTGGCTGACACCAAACTTGAAGTCTTCCTGACTTCACAGTCTGGAAAGGCTCTTTTGATGTTGTCGGCACGATGTGTTGATATTGAAGGGGGCTGTGCTTTTTAACTGATTGGTTCTCCTCTGTGTCTTTCTCACTCAAACACCCACATGGACAGCCACACACAGCCCCCGATCACTGCCCCCTTCCAATACAACTGTTGGATTTTCAAATCCAAACAACGACAGGTCTCAACCCGCCAGGAAAAACAAAAACGTTTGAGAAAACCAATCAAAGCTCAAGCCAATTTCTGTGCAAATTGTACCATCAATGGGCTCCTGTCCTGAGCAGTGTGTTACAGCTCTCCCTCGCTGTGTACCACGTGAGTCGCATCAGCCAGGCTAATGTGCCACATAATTTTCCTATAGACTTTTATTCCCCACAATATCGTTATGGAGTTTTCAGAAATATTTCCTCAACACATTGAAAGCTAGCGTGTTAACGTCCATGCGTGCTTTTTCATTATTTTGACTTTGCTCTTGCTCATTGGCTCCAGAAAAAGACAGACAGACATTGCTGCAACAAAAAGTATTAAGAAAGCGAGAGTTAAGAGCAATGAAAACTGAAAAAACTATTACCACGGAACTGAGGTCACTCTAATGGAGGAAATAAAAACACAAGAGACAATAAACAAATGAAGGTTACATGCCAAATGAAAGTGACAATACATCTGATATTCTAGCAAATTAAACAGTACTATGAGAGAAAATAAGCACATTTTACTATATGCGGCACCAATGGAAAATGCCTGACCATGGAATGAAACATGACATACAGCAAACTATGTTTTTTATGTCAAGTTAAAAACCAATTGCTGAATTGATAGTGGACATTTCTGGAGAAAATATGGGACTATGTGAGTGAAGATAGCTAAAGTATGTTGACAAAGGTGGAAGGTAGAAAGTTGAATAAGCTGGTAAGACAACTGTATTTGTCATTGTTTTGGTACAGGTAATAAAACAGTGAGGTAAGTGCAGCAGGGAGAAAGAGAGAAACAAACATACCTCTGCATTGTAGAACTTGGTTTTGACGTCGAGCGGCTTCAGAACCTGATTGAGAATACATTGCAAGCTAAATAATGCAGACGTCTCAAATGATTTCTCAAATGATTTCTCAAACGATTCCTCCATTCAACAGCTACGAAAAATCTTCCTCAACAACATTAGAAAATATAGCCATTTATCTCTGGTGACAGAAAATACTTAAATCCATGAGCCAAGAAATTTGATTTAAAACAGTCAGTATATCTTATACAAAAAGTATTACTGGAGGAGAAGTTGGATTTAGTTTATTTGTGTGACTCAGAGTAGATCCTTTCTGAGACTGAGGATAGTAGGTAGTGAGATTGTTTGGTAGTCGAAAGCCAAAGCTTGTGTGCTATTGCTAATTGCCTTTTTATATTGACATTTTAGTTATTTAGCAGACGTGGACCAGTGACATTGTTCAGGGTTGAGGTCCGCGCTTTCAATATAACTCAGTGAGGGGGAATGGGAGAGTTCAAATAAAGGATGCTTTGAAACTTACCTGAAATTTGAAGAACTTCCTGAAGTACAGCTTCTCTCCCGCCTGTGTGGTATAACTGACTGCACAAACCAAGCTGGAGTAGAGACACAAATTCTTCAAATATTAGCATTCAAATGAACTCCTATGCATCTTTGCAGATGTGTTGATGTACATCTTCCCCATAGCTGTGGCTCGAGTGACACCCTTTTCCCAGAATTACATAGAGCATTGATCAAAAGTTGGGTACTATATGGGGAATAGGGTGTCATTCCAGATTTACTCCATGTCAGAAAAGAAAACGTACATGTGAGTTCCAATCTCTTTGACTTCATGGTGGATGACATCATCAATGCAGGACTCAGGCTTCAGCTCTGTGACTGCGTTGTTGGACGCTGATAGGTTTAGCCTCTGAGAGCTGGTCTGCAGGTCTGCCTGTAAGACATGACAAAAAGGGGGATTTCACTTAAAGGAGTGTGAATAGAACAAGTGGATTCATCAGAGATAGTTTAAACATGTTTCCATTGGATTTATGTAAATCTGTATTGTACCTTTACTAGTATGTCCTTGACCACCTGGTTGCTGTCATTATGCACACTAATGTAACTCGAGAAGGTCTCGCCAAGGAAAATATTTCTGTGCAGAGGGAAGTTGTTACGCAAGTGTCACACACAAAGACAATAGACTAACTGAAGACCAGAAATGAGACTTTGCTTTTCAGTGAAAAGGATTAATGTATGGTAAAAATAAAAGTTAACAAGTATTCCTGTGAAAAGTTTTGCCTTGCAAGAAATGTGATGATTCTATAATGAAACAGATCAAGACAAACTGACAGAAATGATCGGCCAGGGGGAATGAAAGACATAAACTGAGTGTATAAAACATTAAGAACCCCTACTCTTTCCATGACAGACTGACCAGGTGAATCCAGGGGAAAGCTATGATCCCTTATTGATGTCTCACTATTAACCCTCTAGAGTCTAAGCCCTGTCTAAGCCGGGGGGAGGGTTCTAAGCTAAGATATGAATTGTTTTAAGATGATCATACCAAGGATCCTCTAGCTATTTGATTTAGAATTTGTTAGACCCCTTAAGGTATGAAGACAATATATATATTGGATGAAACATTGAATTTGGCATTACTGTTTTAGCCAATAGAAACGCATTGAATAACAGATTCACTACATGAAACAATAGATAGTCCCCAAAAAAATCGAAAGGAAGTTTGTTCTGAAGTGTCTGTGCTATATCTGAGATAAGAAATAATATTATTATTTTTTACATGTATTTATCTCCTTATTTTAGGCTCTAAACTACACTACATGACCAAAAGTATGTGGACACCTGCTCATCGAACGTCTCATTCCAAAATCATGGGCATTAATATGGGGTTGGTCCACCCTTTACTGCTATAACAGCCTCCACTCTTCTGGGAAGGCTTTCCACTTGAGGATGGAACATTGCTGCGGGGACTTGCTTCCATTCAGCCACAAGAGCGTTAGTGAGGTCTGGCACTGATGTTGGGCGATTAGGCCTGGCTCACAGTCGGCGTTCCAATTCATCCCAAAGGTGTTCGATGGGGTTGAGGTCAGGGCTCTGTACAGGCCAGTCAAGTTCTAACACACCGATCTCGACAAACAATTTCTGTATGGACCTCACTTTGTGCATGGGGGCATTGTCATGCTGAAACAGGAAAGGGCCTTCCCCAAACTGTTGCCACAAAGTTGGAAGCACAGAGTCCCGAGTGGCGCAGTGGTCTAAGGCACTGCATCGCAGTGCTAGCTGTGCCACTAGAGATCCTGGTTCGAATCCAGGCTCTGTCGTAGCCGGCCGCGACCGGGAGACCCATGGGGCGGCGCACAATTGGCCCAGCGTCGTCCAGGGTAGGGGAGGGAATGGCCGGCAGGGATGTAGCTCAGTTGGTAGAGCATGGCGTTTGCAAACGCCAGGGTTGTGGGTTCGTTTCCCACGGGGGGCCAGTATGAAAAAATTAAATAATGTATGCACTCACTGTAACTGTAAGTCGCTCTGGAAAAGAGCGTCTGCTAAATAACTAAAATGTAAATGTAAAATGTAGAATGTCATTGTATGCTGTAGCATTAAAATGTCCCTTCACTGGAACTAAGGGGCCTAGATCGAACCATGAAAAACAGCCCCAGACCATTATTCCTCTTCCACCAAACTTTACAGTTTGACTATGCATTGGGGAAGGTAGCATTCTCCTGGCATCCGCCAAACCCAGATTCATCTGTCGGAATGCCAGATGTTGAAGTGTGATTCGCCGCTCTAGAGAACGCGTCTCCAGAGTCCAATTGCAGCGAGCTTTACACCACTCCAGCCGACGCTTAGAATTGCGCATGGTGACCTTAGGCTTGTGTGCGGCTGCTCGGCCAAGGAAACCCGTTTCATGAAGCTCCCGACGAACAGTTCTTGTGCTGACGTTGCTTCCAGAGGCAGTTTGGAACTCGGTAGTGAGTGTTACAACCGAGGACAGACGATTTTTACACGCTACGCGCTTCAGCACTCGGTGATCCCGTTCTGTGAGCTTGTGTGGCCTACCACTTCGCGGCTGAGCTGTTGTTGCTCCTAGACGTTTCCACTTCACAATAATAGCACTTACGGTTGACCGGGGCAGCTCTAGCAGGGCAGAAATTTGACGAACTGACTTGTTGGAAAGGTGGCATCCTATGACGGTGCCACGTTGAAAGTCACTGAGCTCTTCAGTAAGGCCATTCTACTGCCAATGTTTGTCTATGGAGATTGCATGGCGGTGTGCTCGATTTTATACACCTGTCAGCAACGGGTGTGGCTGAAATAGCCGAGTCCACTAATTTGAGGGGGTGTCCACATATATATATATAAACAAAAAGTATCTCCATATACAGTACATTCGGAAAGTATTCAGACCCCTTGACTTTTTCCATATTTTATTACGTTACAGCCTTACTCTAAAATGGATGAAATACATTTGTTTCTTCATCAATCTACACACAATACCCCATAATGACCAAGCGAAAACAAATATTTACATAAGTATTCAGACCCTTTGCTATGAGACTCGAAATTGAGCTCAGGTGCATCCTGTTTCCATTGATCATCCTTGAGATGTTTCTACAACTTAATTGCAGCATTGAAGGTCCCCAAGAACACAGTGGCCTCCATCATTCACAAACGGAAGAAGTTTGGAACCACCAAGACTCTTCCTAGAGCTGGCTGCCCTGCCAAACTGAGCAATCGGGGGAGAATGGCCTTGGTCAGGGAGGTGACCAAGAACCCGATGGTCACTCTGACAGAGCTCCAGAGTTCCTCTGTGGAGATGTGAGAACCTTCCAGGTGGACAACCATCTCTGCAGCACTCCACCAATCAGGCCGTTATGGTGGAGTGGTCAGATGTAAGCCACATGACAGCCCGCTTGGAGTTTGCCAAAAGGCACCTAAAGGACTCTCAGACCATGAGAAACAAGATTCTCTGGTCTGATGAAACCAAGATTGAACTCTTTGGCCTGAATGCCAAGCATCACGTCTGAAGGAAACCTGGCACCATCCCTACGGTGAAGCATGGTGAAGCAGCATCATGCTGTGGGGATGTTTTTCAGTGGCAGGGACTGGGAGACTAGTGAGGATCGAGGGAAAGATGAACTGAGCAAAGCACAGAGAAATCCTTGATGAAAACCTGCTCCAGAGTGCTCAGGACCTCAGACTGGGGCGAAGGTTCACCTTCCAACAGGACAACGACCCTAAGCACACAGCCAAGACAACGCAGGAGTGGCTTCGGGACAAGTCTCTGAATGTTCTTGAGTGGCCCAGCCAGAGCCGGGACTTGAACCCGATCAAACATCTCTGGAGAGACCTGAAAATAGCTGTGCATCGACGCTCCCCATCCAACCTGACACAGCTTGAGAGGATCTGCAGAGAAGAATGGGAAAAACTCCCCAAATACAAGTGTTCCAAGCTTGTAGCGTCATACCCAAGAAGTCTCAAGGCTGTAATCGCTGCCAAAGGTGCTTCAACAAAGTACTGAGTAAAGGGTCTGAATACTTATGTAAATGTGATATTTCATTGTTCTTTTTAAAAATAAATAATCAAACATTTCTACAAACCTGTTTTTGCTTTGTCATTATGGGGTATTGTGTGTGGATTTTTTTTTTTTTTTTTATGTTTTATCCATTTAGAAATAAGGCTGTAACGTAAAAAAATGTGGAATAAGTCAAGGGGTCTGAATACTTTCTGAATGCACTGTGTACTTCCATATTTTTCTTACAGATAAACGGAGAACACCATTGTGTTCATGAGAGTCTCAGCTTTCAATCGATTGGTTTGTATAATTTGTAGGCCAAACCGTTCGGACGCTACAGACGTTTTCGTGAGAAGACCGATTTTCAGGATGTCTCATGGTCTGACAAACACCGCTCTATCGCTGCTACCTTTCACCACAGATGCAGAAGGGCGATATCGGCAGATGTGGTGGATTGAGACGCAGCCCATGCATCTCTAGCTTAAACAGACAGATTTTGATGGGGGCTCGACCATTGTAGGCCAAGGGTTAAATCCACTTCAATGAGTGTAGATGAAGGGGAGGAGACAGGTTAAAGAATGATTTTTAAGCCTTGAGACAATTGAGACATGGATTGTGTATGTGTGCCATTCAGAGAGTGAATGCGCAAGACAAAATATTTAAGTGCCTTTGAACGGGGTATGATAGTAGGTGCCAGGCGCACCGGTTTGTGTCAAGAACTGCAACGCTGCTGGGTTTTTCATGCTCAACAGTTTCCCGTGTGTGTCAAGAATAGTCCACCACCCAAAGGACATCCAGCCAATTTGACACAACTGTGGGAAGCATTGGAGTCAACATGGGCCAGCATCTCTGTGGAATGCTTTCGACACATTGTAGAGTCCATTCCCCCGACGAATTGCTGTTCTGAGGGCAATATTAGGAAGGTGTTCTTAATGTTTTGTAATGTAATGTTAAATGTTTCATCCTGTTCTATCCGTCAAAGGGTTCAAATGGTTGTTGCTGTAGTGTTTATTACCCAAAGTTCTGAGGTAGTGTGAGCATCTCTCCCAGCATTAAGGCCTCTGCTCCTTTAATAGTGGATGGGTCCTCCTTCATGAGCCGCCCAAACAAATCTCCTGTAGAATGCATGCACACACACGCATGCACACGAACGCACGTACACACACAGACAAACACGGTTAGTCACAGTCACACACACAAATTACTCATATATATACAGCTAAGTGTTGTCGATGATCATAAAGAACTTGACACAATGCTAGAAATGTTGGACTGCATCCTTTTTTTCAACAGATATTCTTTCTGTTTTAGGGCTATATGGAAAACTGTCACTACAAGGTCTAATAGTCAGCCTCATCAAATTTCCCATCATGTTAGTTTTGTAAATTAAATATTGATGATCAAGGTCAATATTTTAAATCTCTGAGTGAAAGGCTGCTTTCAGATGAGCAGTGTGGAAGTTTCGAGAGCTGGGTGGCATAAAAACTTCAACAATTTATTTTCTGTCTCCAATATAGTGTTCTAGTCGTTCATCTTGATTTACGGCCATGCATTCATTTCATTTCTCCCCCCTTGTATAATAGCGTCCCTACCCAGAAGTGTCACTGTGATTTATGGGTTCCGTGGCATTGGGTTACCAGCCCAGTGCTGGCCCAGCAGGCCTCCAAAACAAAAAACAAACACTGTAAATTATCTTCAGGCCTGCCCGACTGAATTTGGGAGCCGTTCATATACACAGTCTTTGGATCCCGTAGAGATTCATTGGGGGAGGCAGCTAGATGTGGCTGGCTGGCTGACTGGCTGGCTGTATTATTGATTACCGAATTCACAGAATTTTAGAGGTTAATGAACGTATTGGCTCAATTCATTTGACTGTCGTCCTGCCTGGAATTTTAACTAGAGGCTTAACCCTAGTAAAGGAAAGCTAGTTGATTTACACGTTCACTTGGTAGTCCTTTACACTCGTACCCGTTTACGGGTTGAAAATGCCCGATTTGGGCACTGATAAATGCCTACATTGGAACACAGTGGCTGTACTGTAACATGCTATACATGACGTCAGACTTCATGCTGTATGGGTTTGAATTTGAACACCGCGCGCGACAAGAACATGCCCCCATCCCTCCCGCTATTGTCATACAAGCAAGCCAAACAACCTTGACTCCAAATGTGCACTTCAAATGTCCATATCATAAAACTCATATCATATACAGTGCCAATGTATATGATTACTATTTGAAGTACAGTTACAAGATGACATGGCATCATACCCTGGGTTGTTCTGAACAGAATGAGCCTGTTTGTCTACTTTGAAGAAAATTAGCTGCAGCACGTGCACCTTATGCGCACCAAAATGACGATCTGTTTACCTGAATTGCCGTGTGAAAACCTAACACTCTAATACCATTTTCTATAACTTAGCTAGTCATGTTGGCAATAGTACAAGCTTTCAAATGATGCCCACCTGACCTAGATTGCGATTTATAATGGACCGTTTTTGGATTGCGTAAACAACAGTAATTGTGTGATGGTGGGGATGCAGGGTTGTGTTCAAAACAACTACAAGTGTGCTTGCTGTTGTTCCTCAACAGCACAGCTAGGAGAGCTCAAAAAAGCCCCTTATAGTTGAGTCAAAAGTGCATTGAAATTATTTAAGAAATGTGCACACTTTGGAGAGGTGTGGCCACTTGGAGACACCAGTTAGTCCTCTCACTCAAACCCTTGTCATTTGTTTGTCTTATGTTGCACCTACAACACATTTTCCAGGAATATTCGTATCATGTTACTGAATGGATCCAGAGTATTTTCAGATGTCATTATCAACAAATGCAGTGAAAAGTACAGTAAATATAAAATGCACATGAAATCATCAGTGTAACGTTTGGATTCAGTCTTGTGTCAGGTGAACGGTTGTGTCCTCAGCTTTGGTCTAATATTTTTTGCATTATCTCCAAACTGTTCCCTTTCAATTGCTACCATGGTAATGCATATGCGTTTCATATTTATTCTGTAAGAAACATTTCAATTGAGTCCTATCCATCGGCCAATTCCCACAAGTGTAAAGGGTTAACATACATACAATACCAGTCAAAAGTTTGGACACACCTTCTCATTCAAGGGTTTTTCTTTATTTTTAATATTTCTTACATTGTAGAATAATAGTGAAGACATCAAAACTATGAAACAACACATATGGAATCATATAGTAACCAAAAAAAGTGTTAAACAAATCAAAATATATTTTATATTTGAGATTCTTCAAATAGCCACCCTTTGCCTTGATGACAGCTTTGCACACTCTTGGCATTCTCTCAACCAGCTTCACCTGGAATGCTTTTCCAACAGTCTTGAAGGAGTTCCCACATATGCTGAGCTTTTGTTGGCACTTTTCCTTCACTCTGCGGTCTGACTCATCCCAAACCATCTCAATTGGGTTGAGGTCAGGGGATTGTGGAGGCCAGGTCATCTGATGCAACACTCCATCACTCTCCTTCTTGGTCAAATAGCCCTTACACAGCCTGGAGGTTTGAACTTTGAACTCCTGTTGAAAAACAAATGAAAGTCCCACTAAGCCCAAACCAGATGGGATGGCGTATCACTGCAGAATGCTGTGGTATCCATGCTGGTTAAGTGTGCCTTGAATTCTAAATAAATATCAGACAGTGTTACCAGGAAAGCACCCCTACACCATAACACCTCCTCCTCCATGCTTTACGGTGGGAAATACACATGCGGAGGTCATCCGTTCACCCACACAGCTTCTCACAAAGACACGGCGGTTGGCAACAAAAATCTCCAATTTGACTCAAGACCAAAGGACATATTTACACTGGTCTAAACATTGGCCAAAACAAGTCTCTTCTTTTATTGGTGTCCTTTAGTAGTGGTTTCTTTTCAGCAATTCGACCATGAACACCTGATTCACACAGTCTCCTCTGAACAGTTGATGTTGAGATGTGTCTGTTACTTGAAATCTGTGAAGCATTTATTTGGGCTGCAATTTCTGAGGCTGGTAACTCTAATGAACTTATCCTCTGCAGCAGAGGTAACTCTGGGTCTTCCATTCCTGTGGCGGTACTCATGAGAGCCAGTTTCATCATAGCGCTTGATGGTTTTTGCACCTGCACTTTAAGAACGTTCAAAGTTCTTGACATGTTCCATATTGACTGATCTTCATGTCTTCAAGTAATGATGGACTGTCATTTCTCTTTGCTTATTTGAGCTGTTCTTGCCATAATATGGACTTGGTCTTTTACCAAATAGGGCTATCTTCTGTATACCTTGCATCACACTCATCGCAATATCTGTGGTGCTGCTCGTGGCAACGTCCATTAGCTGAGTCTACCTTTATGTCAAAGCTGTAACTAGGACATTCAGGAACATTTAATGTCGTCTTGGTAAGCAACTCCAGTGTATATTTGGCCTTGTGTTTTAAGTTACTGTTCTGCTGAAAGGTGAATTTGTCTCCCAGGGACTGTTGGAAAGCAGACTTAACCAGGTTTTTCTCTAGGATTTTGCCTGTGCTTAGCTCTATTCAGTTTCTTTTTATCGCAAAAAACTCCCTACTCCTTGCTGATGACAAGTATACCCATAACATGACGCAGCCAACACCATGCTTGAAAATATGAAGAGTGGTACTCAGTGATGTGTTGGATTTGCCCCAAACATATTCAGGCCAAACAGTTCATTTCTTTGCAACATTTTTTGCAGTATTACTTTAGTTATTATTATTTATTATTGCAAACAGGATGCATGCGTTGGAATATTTTTATTCTGTACAGGCCTCCTTCTTTTCACTCTGTAATTTACGTTAGTACCCAGCTAGCACATAATGTTCTGAGAACCATATGTTTCTTAGGGCTTGGTGAGAGTGTGGTTGTCCTATGGTTATTTAGCATACAGCCTTCCCACAAGTTTCTGGGAATGGTGCAGGATAGCTGTTTGGCTTTCAAACATTCTCAGCACATTTAAGGCACTTGACAAATAAACCATTATTTTCTTGGTATTTCATTACTTTAACAGAACGTTTCCTAAAAGTTCAAACATGGTTACATCTCATTTCAATTTTGGTAATGTTCTAGGAACGTTCTACAACTGGTTTGACATTGGGAATGTTCTCAAATAGTGGAAATTTCAGTACTTCAGCATAACGTTTTCTACAGGTTTGATCATGGTTCCGTTTAAAGTAATGTTCTCAAAGTGTTCCAAGAACGTTAAGATACAACGTTCTTCTGTGGGAATTTCAGTACATCAGCATAAGGTTTTCTTCAGGTTTCCTCATGGTTCTATTTAAAGTCACGTTCTCCGAGAGTTCTTCTGTGGGAATTTCAGTACTTCAGCATAACTTTTTCTGCAAGTTTCCTCACGGTTCTATTTAAAGTCACGTTCTCAGGACATTACCATTTTTTTTCCATAAAAACCACAACAAAACATTAGTAATGTTCAAAGAACATTCTAAGAATTTTATTTAAAAACATATTCATTCCGTTTTCAGCATCAACAAAACTTTTTCTATCCTCTATATTGTTAAGTGTGTTCAGCTGTGTTGGCCACACCACTATTTGGCCACACCTGATCTTAATGAGTGCTTGTTTCCTTTGAAATGGGGTCTGTTTGAATAGACTAAACTGAACAGCTTCGTATGAGTAAAACAAAATAAAAAAATACATACTAGCTCCATCCTGGTGGCGCAGTGGACTAATTCCAAGGCTAGAGAACAGAAGATCATAGGTTCGAATCTTACTTGACGCCGTGCCACATTAAAAAAGAAATGTGTTTGCATGATTAATGCTTAGGCAAATTAATTTTCATGTGTCATATCTGTGCTTGGAGTTCAAAACAGTTAACCTAAGCTAGCAGTGCTATTAAAAGTCTTATTGAAACGTGTCCTCAGAACGTTATTTAATTACCTTCAAATAACCTATAATTTCCTTTCTCAGAACGTTAATAAAACCTCCCAGGAAACCTTCCGGGAACCATAGTAAAACGTTCTCAGAACCTCCCTGCAACCAAAAATTAACATCCCAGAAGAGGCGAAGTTTAACTTTTTACTGGTCAGGAAACTTATGGCTTCGTTCCCAGAACCAATGCGAAACCAAAAACGTACGTTCCCACAACTTCCAAGGAACCAAATGTGCTAGGTGGGTATTGTGGAGTAACTAGAATGTTGTTGTCCATCCTCAGTTCTTTCCTATCACAGCCATTTAACTCTGTAACTGTTTTATTTGGCCTCATGGTGAAATCCCTAAGCGGTTTTCTTTCTCTCCGGCAAGTTATGAAGGATGCCGGTATCTTTGTAGTGACTGGGTGTATTGATACACCATCCAAAGCTTAATTAATAACTCCACCATTCTTAAAGGGATATAGTATTTGTATTTTATCTACCAATAGGTGCCCTTCTTTGCGAGGCATTGGACAACCTTCCTGGTCTTTGTGGTTGAATCTGTGCTTGAAATTCACTACTCGACTGAGGGACCTTACAGATAATTGTATGTGTGGGGTACAGAGATTGGGTAGTCATTCAAAGTCCATGCAACTTTTTATGTGACTTGTTAAGCAAATTCTTTACTCCTGATATGATTTAGGCTTGCCATAACAAAGGGGTTGAATACTTATTGACTAAAGACATTTGAGCTTTTCTCTGTTCTATATTGATATGCCTATGTCATTTATTTTGAATTACAGCTGCAAAGCAAACTGGATAGGCCTAATAAAGATTCTACAACTCTACTACATGTTGGCGGTAAAATAAATCAAGAGGCTTACCTGGGAGGTCTCGATTTTCACATGTCACTGGCATGTTAGTGAAGAGAGTGGGTTTTGTTAACCGCATCACTGTGAAAGACAAAGGATAAAAGAGATAAAATAGTTCAGTTAAGGTAAGGTAAGGTAGGTAAGTTTACTTGCTTGCAATTCTAGATTGAAATTCCATGTTAACATGAAATAACATGCTATTTGACACTTTAAAGAGCAACTGCCTTTAAAAAGCAACGAATCCCTTTGAAAACGGTCTATGTGGCATCGATATGAGTCAGAAACAGTTATCTAGTGTGAAAATGTACTACAAAGTGTAAATAGGATATTTTTGGTCATAAAGTCAGTCTAAAATGGAGTTTGGAACATCTGTGCGTCACAACGGGTAAATGAAGGTTGGGTTTTGATTTGATGATGTCCATTTGCCTACTAACATGGGGTGAACAGCTGCGGTGATTGCTCTCTATCCAATAGCATAGACAGTGAGACAGACCTGCCCAGCAGCTCCGACTTCGTTTACATAAGACAACACATAAAACATTTTTTTTAACTTGAAAAATACTGCACCAAACACCCTGGTTAGATGTAAAATTGTGCAACTAAAACATCCTCAGCAAAAACGTCAAAATGTATTACAGATTTCTTGAGTTACAGTTGAAGTCGGAGGTTTACATATACTTACAGTGAGGAAAAGAGCATTTGATCCCCTGCTGATTTTGTACATTTGCCCACTGACAAATAAATGATCAGTCTATAATTTTAAATGGTAGGTTTATTTGAACAGTGAGAGACAGATTAACAACAAAAAAATCCAGAAAAACGCATGTAAAAAATGTTATAAATTGATTTGCATTTTAAAGAGGGAAATAAGTATTTGACCCCCTCTCAATCAGAAAGTTTTCTGGCTCCCAAGTGTCTTTTATACAGGTAACGAGCTGAGATTAGGAGCACACAAAGGGAGTGCTCCTAATAATCTCAGCTTGTTACCTGTATAAAAGACACCTGTCCACAGAAGCAATCAATCAATCAGATTCCAAACTCTCCACCATGGCCAAGACCAAAGAGCTCTACAAGGATGTCAGGGACAAGATTGTAGACCTACACAAGGCTGGAATGGGCTACAAGACCATCACCAAGCAGCTTGGTGAGAAGGTGACAACAGTTGGTGCGATTATTCGCAAATGGAAGAAACACAAAAGAACTGTCCATGTCCCTCGGCCTGGGGCTCCATGCAAGATCTCACCTCGTGGAGTTGCAATGATCATGAGAACGGTGAGGAATCAGCCCAGAACTACACGGGAGGATCTTGTCAATGATCTCAAAGCAGCTGGGACCATAGTCACCAAGAAAACAATTGGTAACACACTACGCCGTGAAGGACTGAAATCCTGCAGCACCCGCAAGGTCCCCCTGCTCAAGAAAGCACATATACAGGCCCGTCTGAAGTTTGCCAATGAACATCTGAATGATTCAGAGGAGAACTGGGTGAAAGTGTTGTGGTCTGATGAGACCAAAATCGAGCTCTTTGCCATCAACGCAACTCGCCGTGTTTGGAGGAGGAGGAATGCTGCCTATGACCCCAAGAATACCATCCCCACCGTCAAACATGGAGGTGGAAACATTATGCTTTGGGGGTGTTTTTCTGCTAAGGGGACAGGACAACTTCACCGCATCAAAGGGACGATGGACGGGGCCATGTACCGTCAAATCTTGGGTGAGAACCGCCTTCCCTCAGCCAGGGCATTGAAAATGGGTTGTGGATGGGTATTACAGCATGACAATGACCCAAAACACACAGCCAAGGCAACAAAGGAGTGGCTCAAGAAGAAGCACATTAAGGTCCTGGAGTGGCCTAGCCCGTCTCCAGACCTTAATCCCATAGAAAATCTGTCGAGGGAGCTAAAGGTTCGAGTTGCCAAACGTCAGCCTCGAAACCGTAATGACTTGGAGAAGATCTGCAAAGAGGAGTGGGACAAAATCCCTCCTGAGATGTGTGCAAACCTGGTGGCCAACTACAAGAAACGTCTGACCTCTGTGATTGCCAACAAGGGTTTTGCCACCAAGTACTTAGTCATGTTTTGCAGAAGGGTCAAATACTTATTTCCCTCATTAAAATGCAAATCAATTCATAACATTTTTTACATGCGTTTTTCTGGATTTTTTTGTTGTTATTCTGTCTCACTGTTCAGAAAAACCTACCATTAAAAATATAGACTGATCATGTCTTTGTCAGTGGGCAAACGTACAAAATCAGCAGGGGATCAAATACTTTTTTCCCTCACTGTAGGTTGGAGTCATTAAAAACTAGATTTTCAACCACTCCACAGATTTCTTGTTAACAAACTATAGTTTTGGCAAGTCGGTTAGGACATCTACTTTGTGCATGACACAAGTAATTTTTCCAACAATTGTTTACAGACAGATTATTTCACTTATAATTCACTATATCACAATTCCAGTGAGTCAGAAGTTTACATACACTAAGTTGACTGTGCCTTTAAACAGCTTGGAAAATTCCAGAAAATGAAAAAGCTTTAGAAGCTTCTGATAGGCTAATTGACATCATTTGAGTCAATTGGCGGTGTACCTGTGGATGTATTTCAAGGCCTACCTTCAAACTCAGTGCCTCTTTGCTTGACATCATGGGAAAATCAAAAGAAATCAGCCAAGACCAGCCAAAATTGTAGACCTTCACAAGTCTGTTTCATCCTTGGGAGCAATTTCCAAACGCCTGAAGGTACCACGTTCATCTGTACAAACAATAGTACGCAAGTATAAACACCATGGGACCACGCAGCCGTCATACCACTCAGGAAGGAGACGCGTTCTGTCTCCTAGAGATGAACGTACTTTGGTGCGAAAAGTGCAAATCAATCCCAGAACAACAGCAAAGGACATTGTGAAGATGCTGGAGGAGACAGGTACAAAGGTATCTATATCCACAGTAAAACGAGTCCTATATCGGCATAACCTGAAAGGCCGCTCAGCAAGGAAGAAGCCACCGCTCCAAAACCGCCATAAAAAATCCAGACCACGGTTTGCAACTGCACATGGGGACAAAGATCGTACTTTTTGGAGAAATGTACTCTGGTCTGATGAAACAAAAATAGAACTGTTTGGCCATAATGACCATCGTTATGTTTGGAGGAAAAAGGGGAACGCTTGCAAGCTGAAGAATACCATCCCAACCGTGAAGCACGGGGGTGGCAGCATCATGCTGTGGGGGTGCTTTGCTGCAGGAGGGACTGGTGCACTTCACATAATAGATGGCATCATCAGTGTTATGATGAGTTTCTCGGGTGTCAAAGAATCAAGGATGCAAGGATATACTTAGACATTCTGTGGAGACTTTATACCAAGTATTTATTGAATCACGAGCTCGTGGGTTCATCTAACAAACCGACATGGCTTTGCCCTTCGTCACTTGAACAAAGAAGACACTACCATATATAGCCTTTATTACCATCTTCCTGGCATACATCTGGCAAGTCTCCATGGGCACTCCCTGTCTTTGATGTTCATCACTCTTTACCCCAAGTCACTATCCTAAACATCACTCATGCTATCCTAAATATCAGTAATCTCCTTTGACATAATGGAATGTAGACTTCATGGCCCCAAACCACTCATCTCTTAACTCTTCCTCTGTCCTCACAATCCTATAACATGACATCATTACAATGAGGAAGGACATTTATGTGGATATATTGAAGCAACATCTCAAGACATCAGTCAGGAAGTTAAAGCTTGGTCGCAAATGGGTCTTCTAAATGGACAATGACCCCAAGCATACTTTCAAAGTTAGGCAAAATGGCTTAAGGACAACAAAGTCAAGGTATTGGAGTGGCCATCACAAAGCCCTGACCTCAATCCTATGGAACATTTGTGGGCAGAACTGAAAGAGTGTGTGCGAGCAAGGAGGCCTACAAACCTGACTCAGTTACACCAGCTCTGTCAGGAGGAATGGGCCAAAATTCACACAACTTATTGTGGGAAGCTTGTGGAAGGCTATCTGAAACGTTTGACCCAAGTTAAACAATTTAAAGGCAATGCTACCAAATACGAATTGAGTGTATGTAAACCTCTGACCCACTGGGAATGTGATGAAATAAATAAAAGCTGAAATAAATAATTCTCTCTACTATTATTCTGACATTTCACATTCTTAAAATAAAGTGGTGATCCTAACTGACCTAAGACAGAGAATGTTTACTAGGATTAAATGTCAGGAATTGTGAAAAACTGAGTTGAAATTTATTTTGCTAAGGTGTATGTAAACTTCCGACTTCAACTGTATTTTAGATTCATTCTGGGGATTTTGAGGAAGTGTAATAGGCTTTCGCATCTACAGTGTCTCATGGAGGACATACATCATTAACCAAAGGCGGAATAGGTAAGGAAAAACACCTCCAAGACAATCTTGTTTTTCTAATAAGCAACAGAAAAACACACGTGCCAATCCGCGTGTTCAGTGGCTCTTTAGTTAAGTTTAGATTTATGTTAAAATCGCACTTGGTTCATAGAACCATGTCAGTAACCTCCGGTAGTCGCTAGATGTGGTTGTAATAAACAGAGCGGTTTCTGTTTTCTTCCTACAAATGTGGATCTCTTTTGAACAGTTTAAGCTACAAAATATTATGACCCCATCACTGAAATATAATGAACACGTATATATATCTTCTGTTTCCCTCTACAATACCCACAATTCTCATTAGAAAAACATAAACAAGACCAGGCACTTAATCAGCCTGGGGGGAAAAGAAGATAATCAATGATCATGTTCTTTTCTATACAGAAGATCATATAAAAGTATTGCCTTTCTGAGGCATTTCAGTCACTTCAAACCATACTTCCTTCAGATTGAAATACTGTCAAAAGCACTCTCAGACTGATTTGTAATAGAGTGTCATAGCCCCAATAAAAACTGTAAACATTGGCCATTGATTACATAACGTATTGTTACATGGTGGGGTCCAAATTTGTTTTGATATCAAAATGGGGTTGTGGGCCCAAAAGGTTTGGGAATCCTTGGGTTAAAGTAAGGTGACTAGGGTTAGTGTTTGCTCCGTGAAATGGTTGTGAGGATTAAAACGA